CAGTGCCGCTCAGAAGCTCCTTCTGAGCTCAAACCGCAACCTGGATCCCGCACAAGCGACCCCTCCCAGTACCCTGTGAACCCTGCAGAAATCTCGCGAATTTCAGCACCAAAACCATAACCCTCCTGCACTATAGTCTCAGGCTCATGCTCCAAACGAAATCCAGGTTTCCTTGCCCTTCCGATCAAATTTCTGTACCGATGGTATAGTCGCTCGCCCATCAGCAGACGGATGATGCCGTGAGAGGCGCTAGCCATTTGCCCGTACTCCCGCGTGGGAAAGCAGATTCCATCTTTCAGCGTGGAGAGGAAGTCCGGGTGCCGAACCTCGGACGTGGCCAAGAGCGATCGGATTTTGATGCTTCTCGACTAGTGCTATGATATCTATGTCCACGTGGCGGCGCTCAGGCCGGCTACCGGGCAATTAAAACGACAACGATGATGCTGATGCTGATGGTCATGGTCATCGCGATGGCGATGGGGATGGTGATGGTGATGATGCTGATGCTGGTGCTGGTGCTGGTGATGGTCATCGTGATGGTGAATGGTGATGCCGATGGTGGTCGTGGTTGTGGTGACGGTGATGGTGATGGTACTGATGATGATGATGATGATGCTGCTGATGGTGATCGTGCTGAACAACATTACTGTAACACCATCACCCTCGCGCCAGCCAACACCATTACTATCGCCATCACCAGCAGCAGCATCAGCATCATGTCTTTCTTCAGCAAACATTATCAGGGTCGTATTCATCGTTCTCGCGTCGCCGTCCTTGTCCCAATGGTCATGCCGTCATATCCATCCTCATCCTCATCCTCATCTTGTTCCCGACGGGCATTTCATCCTTCCTGTCATCGATTCGCCGTCCTCGTCCCAATTGTTTCTCCCGTCCTCATGCTCATCTGTATCCTAATGGTTATCTTTATACTTCGCTGTCCGTGTTCTTCTCATCTGCAGATATGGGTATGTGCAGCAACATTCGGACTAAGCTTATTTTCTTAAGTGTTTCGATTTCCATTACCCTGACCTTTGAGCTCATGACCCTCACTACAAGACGCCACCGAAGCTGCTACGAGAAGAGCACTGGGAGTGGAAGAGCGCATCTGCCGTGTGCCAAACCGCTCGGTGCTCGGCCTCCGGCGGGCACAGATCCAGACTCCTCCCACGCCTCCATCTGCTCTCGCACGATCTTCCTGACCGTTCACGTGATTCCAAAACCCTCCTCCTCCTCCTCCCCTCTGCACCCTAAAGCCTGTTCCCAGGCCCTTTTGACCCTAAACCCCACACCCTGTTAACCCTGAACCCCGGACCCTCTTAATCCTAAGCCACACTACGAGTGTATGCGATGCTTCTACCGTGCGGTCTCCGCAGCAGCCCACCCATCAGACCAGGCACCACCGCTTTTTGTCGCTGTGCACCAGGCGACCCCCATCGTTGAGCTGGCCTACTTGGTGTAGATAAGTCGTTGACCAAATCCCTCATTGTCGCACCACAATGCCTCGCTGAGACCGAAAAATAGAACTGAAGTTCCGTTAGCCTCAATGTGGTTCATGGTCTTGAACCACAAGACTCCGTCGCCGTGACAGAAGTGTCACGGGAGAACATGCTGAATTAGCGTTCCTAATCAGGTCAAACGGAAGCTGCAGGGAGCCGTGAGCTATGCGCCCTGGGCGTCTCCGAAGAAGAAGAGATCCCTGGCCTGTCTATGCCAACGCAAGCAGTTACGTTTAGGCCAGGGATCCGCACGAACTGCTCATCCTGGGTGATTTTGGACGACTTGCCCGACCTGAGTCGGATTCGTGGAAAAGGATGCTCAACACGGGGCGGAAAGGAACAACAAGACTTTCTGATGGGTTGCCTTCAAGATCTTGCTTTCGCCAGGTCGCTCCTTCTTGTCCAGCCAGGCCAAAGCCTCTTTGAGCTTCGGCGGGTCCAGCGTGCAGGCGTGTGCAAACATATCGATGGCATGTTGCGCCTGGCCTGGCACGAGCGACTGGCGGAAAGTGTCAAGGCTGCAAAGGAAGCCGCTTTCTTACAGCATCCCATAGCTTCCGTTAGCCCTAAGCCCTTCCACCACGCTCGTTGAGTCCACCTTCGGCATCGGTCAGGGACGCCAAGGCGACGGCTACTTTGGCCGCCTCCAACCTCGCTTATTGCTGAAACACCGTCGACAGGCTTTCAAAGCACCAGAAAACCCTGAGCCCCCAAACCACGCTCAAGCCCCAGGCACCCTCCGCAACACACAGGCAGACGCATTTGTGCCCGCCAAGGGACCAAATCTCTGCCGAGCCGGGAGCCAGGTCCAGGGCCCCAAGAAGCTGGCAGCGTTCTTATTTTCTTGAGCTTCAGAGGCCACCACCAGCACCGCCGTCCCCTTCTCCTCCTTCCCTCCTCCTCCTCCTCCTCCTCCTCCTCCTCCTCCTCCGCCTCCTCTCCTGCTCCTCCTACCCCTCCTCTTCCTACTCCCCCACTCTTCCACTTCTCCCAATACTCCCACCTCTTACTCCCACTACTGCCACTCCTCCCACCACTTCCACTACGACTACTCCCACTACTCCCGCTACAACAACTACTACTACTACTACTACTACTACTACTACTCCTACTACTACTACTCCTACTCCTACTCCTACTGCTACCGCTACCGCTACTGCTACTGCTACTGCTACTGCTACTACTGCTACTACTACTGCTACTACTAGCACCACCGCCACTACCGCTACCACTACCACTACCACTATTACTACTAATAATAATAATACTATGCTACTACTGCTACCACTACTACTGCTGCTGCTACTGCTGCTACTACCACCACCACCGTCACCACCCCCACCACCACCAACCTGGTACTGGTCTTATCGCGACCCACTACTGCCACTGACGCTGCCCTACCCGCCACAACCACTGCCACTTCCACTACTACTACGACGATGAAGAAAATAAATTCCGCCGTGTCCAAGTACTTTAGACTTTAGATGAACATGGAAACGTACGAACATGGAAACCTACGACGTATGGCCTGCAGCTGCCCTTCATGCTGCTTGATGAAGGGGTCGCGGTTCGACTTGTCAATGCCTTGGGCCTGCTTCAGGCCCTGGCGCAGACGCGACGCTCCGAGACTTACGGCTTTCATCGATGCAAGGCCTTTTGGAAGCTCCGGCGAGCTGCCTTGATGTAAAACCTCAGCTTGCGCTGCATCTGAGGTGTTTCAGGGTGGACAGAAGCCATGGTAGCAGCGAGTACAGCCAGAACACGGCGCTCGTAGCGCATGCTGCTTCTCCAGATACTCTGCAGCAGCAGAGAGGTCAGCGGTCCGCATGCGGGCGTTGCAGACCTCAGGATCACTTTGCATTTGCCGTGCGCGTTAGTCCCCCAAAAATATCAAAGCTTTCCGAGTCACTGCAGGCCCAGCTGCCCAGGGGGCTGCAGAGGTTCCGTCATCCTGCTCATCCTGCTCAGCCGCCGCTACGGGCTTAGGCAGAGTTCGGGGTACAGCAACTCCGCTTCAGGATGTAGGGCAGGGGTTACAACAATCTGCATCATCGGGCTCGAATGGAGTCCCAAATTGCCAAGTTAGCTAGAATAGCCCTGGCAAGCTTTGAGAAGAATACCGGGCGAAATTTATAGTCAAGAGTTTTCAGGATCCTGCAATGTGGTGGGTGCAAATGTCCACCAGACCTCAGCTGCTGCAAGCGCCGCTTCAGCGGCCCTCAGCTCCTTGCCAAAGGAAGGCTCAGCCAATTACCCAGACATGAAACTACCGATCCATCCGTCCATGCATCTCTCCATCCATATATACACATAGGTAGATACGTAGATAGTCGGACAGAAAGAGAGAAAGATAGATGAAGACAGAAAGAGACAGATAGACATATACACAAGCATGTATATACATGTGTGTATGCATATATGCGTCACGGCACGGACCGGACACGACACGCACGCACGCAAGTATGGACGGACCGACGGAGGCATGCATTCATGGATGGATGCATGGATGGATGGACGGAGGGATGGATGGATGGATGGATGGGTGGATGGATGGTATATGTAGACATATGTATGTATATAGAAAAGATATGTGTATTTTTGTTTGCTTGCATACATACACACAAGCATACATGCATACATCCATACACACATATATCGCACTTGCTGTCGGTTGATATGCTGATCTATGTATATCTACGTGCCATTCGATCTTCTTGTCTATCCATCCATGGATCCATCTGCACTATCTACCGATCAACGAATACATCGATACGTCGATCCAGCTCGATCCACCCGCCTGTCCTCCCGCAAGGTCGCCACACGAGCCTCCAAGGCCGCTCGGTTTGCCTGAAAGACGCGGGGAATGGGAATGAGACCTCCGCAAGTTTCGCCAACTCCAGGTCTGGCCTCCGCAGCTTCCGAGGCCGAGAGGCTCGAGGCCTGAGCAACACGATCCTCAAAGAAGCCTGGGTTTTGGGGAGGGCCCTTAGACTAGAAACACCACCAGAGCGTGTGTGCGTGTGTGTTGAGGCCTACAAGGCAAGAGGACTCATCGACTTCGGTAGAGTCCGGAGGACCTGAGGCACTTACAAACCAGGTCAGCAGCAATGGCTTCCATGGCCGCCTCCGTGGCCGCGAGCTCTGCAACACCATGGCTCCGAGCGATTTAGCGGGGGGTGTGCAAGTTTTGACTGGTCTTGCTAGCGATCAAGCCGACAAATTTTAAGGATTGCTCTTCGTGGAGTTGGAGGAACAACGGCGGAGGGTGAGACGGAGGCTTACGGATTGCAGTCTAGCTTAACTCAATGGCTGCTCGGATGCGCGTCTTTTTGCAGCTAGCTGGATTCCGGTCCATCGATCTACTGAGTTCAAGCTGCAAGCACGAACCACTTGCAACTGGCATAGACATCTTCGTCTGAGAGCTTGAATGAGCTGGCTTGCAAAGGAAGATTCCCTGTGGTCGAACCCCGACCGAAGTCTACTGAACTCTTGCGAGGAAGGCTCCTCGGAAGTGGCCAACGACCTCCGGGACGAGAAGCTTGCCGCTACGTGAGCATATAGGTTCGCAGCTGCGTCGGTTTTCTTGGTTTGTGAGGATTGGGTTTCAATGTCCAGGGTTTCAGGCACACTCTGATGTTGCCGTGGTGCTGTTTTTGCTTGGCGTGGAACTCCACGATTCCGGCATGTTGTAGGTCTATCTAGCGGACTACATTCAGCCTATGCGTGCGTGTATGCGTATAATATGTGCGTATATGTGTGCATGTATCTATCTGCCTTCTGCTATCTGTCCATCTGTCTATCTGTCTATCCAGCTGTCCATGCATCGATCTATCAAACCGTAGAAGAATGTTCGTGTTGCAAGTGAAAGGGGAAGGGCGGAGGGATTAGAGGCGGAGGCTGCCATAAAGCGCTAATCAAATCACGCTTCTTCACAAGCGTCTCAAACTCGCAGACAGTCCCCTCGCACCCTTGCGTTGTCAAGGTCGCGCCGCTTTCGGTCGGAGACCTGCCCAGGGGCAGTCTTTGCTGCTGATTCTTCTCGAGCAATGATGCCCTGAACGATTTGCATGCCACAGCGCACAGCTCCAGTACCATCCCATGCAGCTGGCGTCAGAGGTATCAGGACAGGCCTCAGCGTCGATGGATGGTCAAAGTGCACCTGTCATTGCCGTTTGCTTAGCTGCAAACTACGTGGACTGGACCAAGAGGGATCATGCATTTGTCAAGTTGGAAACCTACAACCCAAGCAGCAGGCGTCAAGACGCAAAAATGCGAAAGCATCGGCATCAGGCATTTGCTTCGAAAAAATTCGGCGACTGCGGGGGTGAGAAGAGACTTGCCCTTGCAGGCAGCCACCCCAATAGGCGTTCCAGGGAGTGCGGCAAGAACTTTCAGGCAATATTATGTTGCACAGACGTGCGGCATTCGTCGCTGTTCAACGGGGCTGTTCAAGGACGACGCATTAGAGGGGTTCTCCCATGAAACCTGCCTTGCAAGCCGCACAACGTCTGGGTGCTCTTCGGCGGCACGTGCAATTAGAATTTCGGGAGGTTGACGCCACAACCGGAACGGCTGAGACTAAGTCAGCTCTAGCTACAGCAAATTGCCAAGTGCACTTGGTGCAAGCAATGCTTCTGTCAATGCCACCATGAACATCCATAAAGCCGAGATTACAGCGACATCTCCCCAAGGACCGGCCGGCCCCAGTGTTGTTCGAAGCAGATGAAATTGCATGACTCCTCGGTCGCACCTTTCGTAACACTTCATCCGCAACACCGGGAGAGCGCGTGCCCTATGAGCCATGCAAAAAAATTAAATCTTCGTGCCCTAGCTACTGGCTCTGCGTCGTGCAGTTCCTAAAGGCACTGCCTTGGCAGAACGCTCTTTCAGCGATGACACAGAGGGAGACAGCTAAAAACAGGGGTCTTGGGCGCCTCGATTTCGTGATCTGCAGTAGGCAACAACCCAAAGTCCTGGTCGCACTTGGAACGTCGACACAGCAGGCCGATCGAAATGACAAGGCGCCAGCACTCCGTGCCACCGCTAGGTGCCCAATCGGAGATGCTCAAATCCTAAGTCCACACCATGACTTGAACATACTCGTTACCCCACGAGATTGACTCTGAATAACCCCTTCAAGACGAGCGGCCTCACCGCCTTACACGGCATTGTGGTTGCCTGTCGCCTCGTCGTGCAGCCAGCGGATACGGCGTCCGTCCTCCCAAACTCCTGCAGCAAAGTGCAGGCAGCTCGTGAGCTTTCTGGCTTTGCACGTCCGGTCAATCGAATGCTGGGATTCGAAGACTTCCCCTCAAGGAGCCCCTGATTGCTGGGTTCCCAGACGACTACTCTACCAAAAAAGGTGTAACCACCTCAAGGAAATCGAAAGACTGGCAAGACGGCTGTCCATGCTTCTTCTCTTGCGCAAGAGTCACCTGGCAAGAAGACCGCAAATCCGGGTTTTGCAGCTGAAACCTTCTCGGAACACCGTGGGAAAGCGAATCGGTGACCCCAGGCATGCAACGCATCACAGCGCTTTCGGCTCCGCAGTAGAGCCCTGAAACTTGCAGCTTGCGAGGCTGACCCTAAACTGCAGCACGAACTCTTGTGGATTAAGCGCTGAATTCGAAAGGCTGAAGATCCCGCTTATCGAGGCTCGACGTGTACATGTTGTGGAATTCTGCGAGAAGCACTATGCAGAGCCTTCGATTGGCTGCATGTGGCCGCTGCACTGTTAGGCATAGGCCAAAGCAGGTAGCACCGGGCACCCCACATAGTAGCCTTTGCCATGTTGTTTGCCATCTCTCCTGGCAAGATTCGATGGAAACCCTTCTTGAGACTGGCTCATGACTCACATGCCGTCTTTATCGGTCTTTGGCAAAACCCCCGTCGAGGAATCAACAGGCCCTGCTATCGCAAACAGCTCCACGAATTTCCGCGAGAGCGGAGCAACGCTCTACTCCCTTGCCCCTAGGTGCACATGTCCACCCACGAAGTCCATGCAGGCTTGGAGCTGCTTCGTCTGAAGGCTCCTAGAGGTCTCCGAACCCGAACAGTGAGAAAAGCTGGTGAACAAGGTGCATGTGCTTGACTTGTACCCTGCCACGCTACGCAAGTACCAAGCGAGCCAGTCGTCGCCACTGGCCATCGTACTTGCGGCCATCTGGCCACAAGAACCTGGTAACCGTACAGGATGGCTCGAAGATTATGTACAACCAATCATGGCGCGGCACCAGAAGCAGCATCACTATATCACCACCACCAGAACCATCAAATAATGTCATACAAGGCTCACGAACCATTTCACCAAGGTCCCTCCGTCACTCCGTCTCTCCCTAGGCCCTAGGGCCATGTCCATCCTTCCTCTCTTTTCTTCTCCGCATTTTGCTTCCGACGTGCAGAGCACTGCAGACGACTTCAAGATGGGCTTAGGACTAGAGTCTCTGAGGCAACGGCAGGCCATGGCCATCCTTTGCATCCTTGGTCTGGTAATATTCCCCGCTCCAAAGCCCACATGGAAAGAGACCATCTTGGCCGCAGACGTCTTTGTACTGCCCTTCCTGGGATGCTCGGTTCCACGCTCCGTCTCCGCCATGCAACAGGCTTCAACAGGTGCAAGGGAGGGTTTGAGGGCATAAACAGCCAAAACCCTATTCTAAGAGAGCAGCATATCTTCTTCCATCGGCCCAGGTGAAGGTGCCGTGGCCGTGCATGCGGTTGTTGACCTGGGCGGGCACGGCTTGGGCTTGTGCTTGGCGCACTGCCACAGCCGACACTAGCTTTCTACAGCTCTGAGCTAGATCCGTGAAACCTCACAAACCATCGCAAAGCAGGTGTTGCGTGAAAGGGACTGCATTGCAATGTTGCTGCAAGAAGGGTGACCGCAATGCAGACAAAGTGTTGAGCGGCGAGCCCATTGGCCTTCGTATCTTCGCCGGTCTCCCTGCCAAGAAGGAGGCTCCGCAAGGCTCGCGAAGTCATCTCACATGCTCAGGCCAGGCTGACCCAAATGTACAGCCCTTCGCCGTTGATCTCGTTGTTACTGAAGCCACCCTGACAAATGTCAGCATCTTGACATTGAGAAGCCAGTCTCTTCCGGGCGGTGCAATCGCGCCTCGTAGCTCGAGCCATCCGCCCACATGAAGCTACCGTGGCCGTTCTTCTTGCCGTCCTCGCACGCGGAAACACTCAGAGAATCCGATCCCCAATCCCCTTCGAAGGAGAACTGAGAACAGGGCGACATAGTCCCCTTGGTATCTGGCACCTGGAGACAGCCGGGCGCTCAGATAGGCGTTTGGCCGATGGATCTTCCGAGGACCCAGCCGTCTGGCCAAATCTCGATGCCTTTCCCGTGCCTGCAGGAACTCTGCTCTGGTTTTGTTTTTTTGGGGGGGGCAGGGGATTTGAGATCGCTTGAACTCCACTGGGGATCGAACTGCTTGTCGTCTCTCCACTGGCCCTCGTACTTGGAGCCATCAGCATGCTGGTACCTGCGCTGAACTGCGAGGCCAGAGAGGGCCCAAAGTCTATTCAGCAACTGAGATCCCAGCATTCCTTGGCCGTGGGCCTTATCATCCCTCCATTGACCCTCGTACACCTGGGCTGCATGTCGTCCAAGAAGGCCCATGGCGAAAGCAATAATGAGAAGCTTTTGGTGCACTTGGCCACGTGCATCACCATCGATGTGCTCGAAACGTCCATTGCCATGGGCTTTGTCGTTGAACTGGCAGGTCTTGCTGTCAGAGATCCAGCGGTCAAAGCTCGAGGAAACGCGCTGCCCTTCGCCCTTCCCGGAAGCGGCGCACCCACTGACCGACGTATCTGGCTCCATCGGTCCACAACTGGCGCAGGCGGGTGGGATATGGAATCATGAGGTTCAGATGTTCCGGAAGCTAAGCACGAGTCGAATGCGCTGTTTGGCTAGTCCATCCTCGAGTCTAAGAGGCTTATGAAGCTTAGAGCCCTTATGAGATCAGAGATGCTGTGGTGGTCGTGGTTCGATGGAATCATATGGAAACTAAATCTAAGACTAAGACGTGGAGGAGCTTTCGCACACCATCCACACTTACGATTCACCCGCGCAATCCAGCAGCCTCACCGCTCCCTCTGCCGTGGCATGCATCCGGCCTGCTCACCATGGCCCTGCCGCAGGTCGCCCACCCTTTGCCGCGCAAGCACGTGCGAGCTAGCCAAAGGCAATCTCATCGAGGCCAAGATGTATTTGGTTAGAGTTAGCTCGCTGCTTAGCGATTTGCTCACTAAGTGGAAAACCCACGAGCGCGCTTCCCTTGAAGCTGCCAAGACAGGGACTAATGGAGAAACATTTGAGAACTTTGCTCCGGGACTGCCTGCACTCGCTGGGAAAGATCGATGCTCACGCGACTCTCAAACCCTCCGGGGTCTGGACCACGACCCTTGGTAGGTGGCCCCGTTTTCGTACCTCGAGGGCGGTAGCCGCGAGGCTATGGCTGCTATGCTGTGCTGTGGAGGAATGTGCAGCTTGAAACTACCCTCTGCTGGCCGACTTTTGCCAGTGAAGCGGAGACATCTCGACACGAGCCGAAAGCAAAGAACACGGACTCCACATCTGGGCCCCAGGCGTGAAGAGAGGCCTGCCATTGCGGTTTCAGATCTTCCGACTTCTTGGACGCAGGACTCCCGCGACAAGAATTGTAACGCTGGCACACGATAAAGGCGATCGGCACCTCACTTCACTCGGCCCAGAGTTCTTCTCGTCGAAAACGGTAGCATTCAACTGAGCAACGGAGCGATTCTGATTTCTTCTCCCACTCAACGATAAAGCATTGCTCAAGGTATCTGCTCCATGTCTTTGATCCAGCCTCGTTTTCCGTCTCATCCGTATCACACCTTGGTGCTCCACGCAGACGCTGATCTCTGGACACGGGAGCCACAAGGCGCTGGCAGGCATTGGCTCGATCGGCCGCCCATCGCCTCGCCAACCAAACAAAGTGATTTAGGGTTTGAAGTCTCCGAGGGTTCTCAGTGCGGCTCTCCGGCGGATATCCCCGGCCTCAGCACCTCGAAGTGCTCGACGTTCAGCGGAGGCCAATGCCCCGGAAGCTCTGAAGCTGTGCTTCTAATCTCTGTCTGGGTTGGGTGGCTGACTTATCCAAAGCTGGTCAACGGCGGAGTCTTCCTCTGCAGCTACAGCTCTGTGTCAGATGATACAACAGCTACATCCAGGCTACATCTTTCTGCTCTATGTGGCTCTGACATGGAGTTGCTTGCGCCAGCTGGGTGAGCAAGCGAGCAGGGAGTTTGCGGCTGCGACCTACTCTCGTTCCTGAACCCCCGCGACCTCTACCCAGCTCCAGTGTTCATGAGAGATCATGACACCGCATGTCAGTTCACCATCAGAGCTGTGCAAGCTGCGCGAGATCTGTGAGCCAATCCCGGCATCCAAGGCCTCATCGACAACCTCGGGCTCCACTGCAGTGACGGCAACTGCATGCCTGCAGAGAACAGTCAAGGCAGATATGCATCCCAGTCCAAGTGAAGGCACACTGCAATTCGGATTCGGCAATCACCAGACAAGCATGCTGTCGTCTCAACATGCCGTCACCAGTCGAAGCGTAGAACATGTATGCAGAGACTAAAACTGAAATGCTCCCCCCCATCCCCGCATGCACGCTCTACCTTTTTGCTGGAGCGACACATGACAGCTGGACGAGGAACCCAAGTTCAATCTGTCACTCGAGGTAGCAGAACGACTACACAGGTTCTGTCCAGCTATCGAGCGGCGGTATTGCTGGCGTGTGCGAAGCTGCAAAGCGGGATACAAGACTGCAAGATCACGACGAAGTCCGGAATCCACTTTAAGTCTTTAGATTACAGGCTGGGGGCAGACCTGCTGCGCCTCAGCCTTCGGATGCTCTGCAGCACTACTTGCCTGCGTCTAGGCAAATCTGCCTTGTGACAAATGCACATGGATGGTGGGATGCTGCAAGGACAAACACAGCAACAAAAGTCCTCCTACACACCCCAGCCATCCGATGAAGCCCACCAGTGGAACGCGCATCTTGCACTGCCACTTCGGGAGAAAATGCCGTCGGCCGTTTTGGCCATCTTTTGGGCCAGATCACTCCCCTACTCCTGCCAGGCGTCAGATCCGCCAGCATCGCCTGAGATCAGGCGCTTTCTATCTTTCAGGAGACTGCGTCGAACCTGGTCATTCCGGCGAGTTCGGACTCCAGGACTTCAGGAAGCCTCAAGGCCCCAAACAGGTTTTTCCGGATAGACCTTGAAGCAAAACCTCTGTCGGATGGCCCTCCGGAAAACAGAAAGCCCCTCTGAGGTGGTGGAGCTGTTCTCTTGGTGAAGCAACCAACTTCCCAGTGCAAAGTGCAACTGTTAAGAGGCAGATGGAGAGAGGGAGGCATGAAGAGAATCGTTAGATTGTTGGATGGCCAGCCGTAAATCCCCAAAACGACGGGGCCTGAGCCCTAAACCCTAAACCGCCTGAGCCCTGAAGCAACAATCGCTGAGAAGCCGGAGACCGGCTTTCGGGCAATTAAACTCCACGGGACCCTCCCGAAATCTCCCGAAACCCAAAACCCTCCGTCCTAAACCCTAAGTGAACTACACATCTGATACCCTAAACTCTAAACCCTCATCTCCAAGCCCCAATCTGCACGTCTCAAACACGAAATCCACAATTCCAAACCCTCATCTCCAAACCCGAATCTGCACATCTGAAACCCGGAACTCCAAAGCCCACTCTCCAAACCCTAGTCACCTAGTCATCTGCACGCCCGATCTCCAAACCCGAATCTTCCGATCTGAAGCCCGAAACTCTACACCCGAATCTCCAAGCCTGAGAAACCATGGACTCTCAAGGCCCCCAACCTTTGACCCCAAAGATCACCCCCGCCTGCGCCGGTGCCTCGAGGGGCCCAGCGCTTGGCGGCCGGCGCCCGGCCAAAACCTCTGCCCCGACAACAATGCGTTCGGTTTGCAGTTCAGGGTTTACGATGTTGGGTACCAAAGCCTAACACTTAAACCGTGCTGAGACCCTGACAAACTTAAAAATGTGTTTGCTTCTCCCGAATCTCGTCAACCCCAACCCTCCTCAAGCCTGATCTGGGCACAAGCGATCAAACTTGCCCCGAAACCAGATCATCTGAAGACAGCTTCCAGTCTCTGACAGAGCTACTGACTGTTTCCCACATGCTCCTCAAGCAATCTCAACAAGCAGCAACAACGATCAAACTGCTGGTTTCACAGCTTACCCTTTCTGGGCAGGTGGCCATTCCAGTGGCCTCGCTGACCGCCCTGGGTGGCCGGGACTTGCAATGAACTCCCGGAAAGCCGGAACGCAAGCATCCCGCAACCTGGCACTCAGCCGAGGACCCACCAGCTTCCTCCGTTGCCATCTGGGCCGCTCACACCACTCTGCATCAGACACCGCTCCAAGTTCTGTCTCGCTCTCGATTTTGAGGTGCCGGCACCAGCCGCTCCCCCAGCCCTCCTCCAACGTGCTAATATATTGTGTTATAGCAAATTATATAGTATTACACGCATTATACTATGTTATATTGTAATATATTATAGTATATTGTATTATATTAGAGTATAGTATACTATAGAACATAATACACTTTAATACAAATTACTTTTATATACGCTGCCGCAACACTGGCCGCAACACAGGTGGCCCTCGTCCTGCTCTCCCCACCACGAGTCGCCACCACCGCCTGCAAGAGTCGGTTGCAGGCTGTGGTTCTCTTACCTTTGGTTAGTAGGGAATGGAAGAATGGTAGCAATAGTAGTTATAATTGTACCCCATTCCTCCATTCCCTACTAAACCAAGGTAAGTTCTGAGGTTTGCCGGGTTCCCCCTGTTCGCAACCCTAACCAAACACATTCCTCTCTCGTAAGTCCCCCACCGTACCACTCGTCCTCGCAGCACGAGAAATTGCTGCCCTTGCTGGCTCCGAGATGCAACATCTTCACACTCTGTCCTGCCAGTTCTTGCTCTTAGACTTGCCATTGCCTGCCGAGGCTGCGGTCAGGTCTGAGCTAACGAACCGATATCCGGCTGCAGGGAAACGTACGAGATTCCCTGCTGCCCATCCCGCTAAGCGCAAAAGTGGCCTTTGAAGGACTTGGCGTTGTCGTTTGCGTCGCCAACAAGGTCCTGCAAACACAGTGGTCGCCTGTGGCTGGAGAGGGAGGCCTCGGTTGCAGAGTTTTTTGCGAACTCCTTGGCTGCCTTGGTATTGGCAGTTGGGCCTTTTGAACCCTTGCCTGCCAGGTCACATGACGTCACATTATGCTGAGATTTGCCCGACTCTGACCGGCACCTGTGTGGGCTGCAGGACCTTTGCCAGCAGGTAGAAGGCTTGCCTACAGCACGGCGGATGCTAATGGGGAATGGCCTGACTCAAGTATGTGGCAAGGGCTCGCGATGCCGCAACCACAACAACTTAGGGAGTGAGTGAAGAAAGACGGGCATGCAGCGTCGCTGTATCGTGCAAAACATCGCGCTCGTCGGATCTGTCGAGGTGTCGGGAAATGCGCGCCTCTGTTCGGTTGCACGGTTGAACGAACCCGCACAATCATGTTCAGCTGGACTTCCAACGCTATAGGACCGAACCAGCCAAGTCCATCACAGTTGATGCTGACGGCCATCAACGAGGGCGAACACGAAGAATCGCAGCCATGCGGCTTTACCACTCTCTACGACTCGCCGCGCCGTCGACAACTGAATACCTCATATCGGGCCTGTCTGGTGAACATGTCCTGAAACACAAAAATCATCAAGCAAGTTATGATTTTCTCATACCGGCATCGCGACAGCCGATGACATTTCACGTACAGCTGAAAATCGACAAGGCTTCGGAAAAGTAGGCCCCATCATCGCGGACGCTGGGCACACAAGGGTACTCGTACAGGAACCCCAAAACTCTGCAAAGATCTGCAAAAGAGTTCTTTAACTGAGATAGCTCCCTTGTCACACCCTCGAGGACCGAGGGGGGGCCAGGATTCGGACATCTCGCTCCCGGCTGGAAACTGTCCGTCTTCAACAGCTTTCGCAATCGGGACACCGGCCTTGCCGACGGTGCTGTGGCCGTTGGCAGCAGCAGCACCATTGGCTTTGCCTGCCCCACACGTTTGCATGAGGGGCAGGAGCGGCGGTGCAATGTGCATTGGAAGCTGCTAACTGAAGCCCTTACGCGGGAGATCACGCGGCTGTGCGGCTGTGTAGCAACATGAAACCAAAGGGTCCGTGGAGTCCGTGGGCCTCGGCTGGTCTTTGCGGCATCTTTCCCCTCCTTGGTTCCACGTTCCAGACTGGAGACGTCAGGACCCTGAAATACTGAAGGCCCCTACACCATCAGTGAAGAGTCAAACGGTCGAACACCGCAAGAAAGAACTGCTCGACCCCTGCCGTTCCAAAGCGTGCCGGCCAGGTGCTGGTCGGGGCGGCAAGGCTCTCGGAGCAGCCTGCATTGCTGCATCTGAAGGACTCTCTCCATGCCTTCGGGCTCCCAGGTCCCACTGGCAAGCTGCGGGGAGGTCAGATCCTGTGCACTCCCCAAATGGCTGAAGCCCTCGATCCCGATTTCCCGATCCCAAACCTTCGTTGCAGAGCCATTCTTTCCGGCATTGGAGTTGGCAGCCTCTTCCAGGCAGCTTCGGAGGCTCAAGGCTCTGACAGCTCACGAGATAATCTATGCTTGGAAGTCGTCAGCACCCACTAGAAAGGCAAGATCCATGCAAAGCCTTCAACACACCGCAGGGACGGGGGGGAGAAGTCGGGAAGGAAAAGTGAGTTTGAGGCCCTTTGGCGCGGCCTTTGGCGCGGCCTTTGCCGGAGCAGCAGGCGCTTTGGCAGCTGCCTTCCTTGGCAGCCGTGCCCGTCTTCAAACGTTGAAGATGGCGGGGGGGGACTGTTTTGGTGACTGGTCGTTTTGCCCCGCCTCTACGTGTCTCGAGCGGTGCATCCGACAAAATTTCTAGGATGACTCCTTTCTTCACGAGAAGCCGCACAGCACTGTCGATTCTCTGTTGGGGCTGCGGCTTCGGTTCTGGAGCCTGCCGCAGTGCCGGGATACTTAGACCACGCGGTACGCCCCAACCCCTCCCCTCTCCCACCCCGGTCCCACCCCGGTGTCGCCGGGGCCTCCGAGGTTGGCGCCAGTGGCGGGGGCCTCGTCTTGTCCTCACTCTGAACACCGTCTCCGGGCTTCAAAAGAAGCTTCCGGAATCTTCCGGATCGCGGATCCGTCTCTAAGGCTCTGGAAGCAGAGAAGCGATCGAGCGGGCCTCCTTCCGTTTTTGGCTCTCTCGGAGGTCGTCCGCCGTTTTCTTCAGCGCTTGTCGCCTCAGCCGTCGGCGTCGGTGCGGGCCATATCACAAAATCTAACATATTGGCTATAGGCCCAGCGATCCCACGCAAGCTAAAGCCGCCATCAACTCCAAACAGACAAGACTCGTCAAAACTGACAGACTTTTGGGGTCGCACAACCTTGGCCACTGCCTAACCGAACTCATGCGAAATTTCCCCAGAACCCATACGACGACCTGGACAAGCGGCAGGCGACTGTGCTGCAAGAAGTCTTCCAGGTCTTCGACTACCTGAACACAGAAATTCAACACTCCCTTTCCTTCGGGCAACAACAGGCCGAAGACGAAGAACAAGGCAAAGGCTAACGAGAAGACACCGGGACGGATCGCATAGATGCTCAATCTATTTGCAGCTGGCAAAAAGTCAAAAAGTATGCGTCGAAATGCAACTAGGAGCCGATGGTGCTGGCGTTGTTCGGGAGATGGAAGCAACTTCAACTTGCGAAGATCTGGCATCTGCACAGAAAAAACCACGGATTAGAAACGACCCGAAGCCAACGTTGGGCATGTGGACCCGTCAGCGAGCGATTCCATACTGCACATTTACGATGTGACGGGACGATGTGGCCAGCAGTTTCGGGGACGAGTCGCAAGAATAGGCGATAGAGGCCCTTGCCTTCTCGCATCGTCTTCGACGGCAGCAAGTCAGAAGAGTGTCCACCACCCGTCCAGAGCCCGAAATTCTTCTCCACCAGTCGACACGGGGCAACTCGAACGAAGCCGGCCGACATGGCTCCATGAAGCGAGGATACAAAGTCGAAGAGGACTCCCAGAGCTGCAGAATCTCTCTGCTGTTCCTTTGCCACCCCAACCCCTGTCGCGAGCCTCCGCCTCCAACTCATCATCGACGATGAAGGTCTCCTCCCATGTCCGCAGATTCCCGGAAAACTTCTCCGGGGCACGGCCCAGTCCTGGCCTCGCCGTCCTCCCGCGACTTCTTCTTCTTCCGCTTCTTCGCCGTGCTCTCTGCCTGCCATGGCAAGGAGAAGAAGAAGAACGGCGCAAAACGACCCAGCACTACTAGTATGCGTCCTCGTGTAGGAGCAACCCAAAGCACCTAAACGCACACTGCGTGGGCGTCGTCTGCGGTGTACGAAAACATACCCGTTTAAAGGTAATGCCCCCGCAATTTTGCAAGTTTCATCATCATTTCTGTTTGGGTGCTTTTTTTGGTTCCAAACAGTCATCGTCGTCGTGTCATCTACTAGTAGCTAGCGGCGGCGGCTGACATAAGAAAAAGGGTTGACACGCTCACTGGCGACCCGACCCCCGCGGTCTGCGACGTTGGGACAGGCACTGCGGAGGATGCCTGCCACGCGGCAGCCGGTCATGTCTTCTACGTCCTTGCCTTTTACAACTACTCTGTCTGCCAGTTCCATGTGGCAATGTTGGGTCCTAGTTTTGCCAAGTCGCAGGACGCCGGCGCTCAGCCTCGTGAGCGTGAGACCTCGGGCAACGGCCTCTGGCCCAGGCTCAACCGGTGACGGTCTCTAGGCACATGTCATGAGTCAGCAATAGGCAATAGTGATATGATCATCGCGGCTTACCAATACAAACAACACTCATTTACTATGATTGTCTCCTCAGACCGCCACCGCTCCCAAGCCCTTTCCACCTCGCTGCAGGTTCTGGAGGGAAAAAGGTTGTGCATGGCTTTCGTCCGAAACCTCTCTTGCATACGGTATTCGGGAAAAGGTTGGAAGCTGCACCGAAGATCTCTCACATGTGCCGATTAGCTCCTTCACCCGGACAGCTTCTGAGTATGTAGGCTTCTGCAAGATACTTTAGCTACCCACACCCGAACCCACTATATTTTTGGCCTCTGCTGCGAAGGCGCGATGTTGCATAAGGAGTGCCTGGCCGGCAAAATCTATGCGAGCGTGGGACAAGCAATGCGCCGAGAACGTCGAAAGCCTCCTGCTCGTTTCTCGCCCGGAACTGCTGGGACCTCCAATCGACGCAGCACGTGCGACCGGAAGTATTTAGGCAGAGGGTCGATTCGCGAAGAGACCACAGGAATGCGATGCTGCCTTTGGAAAATCCAGACACCACTCATCACCTTACAAGCGACTGCAAGCAAGCCAGTAACTTGGAGGAGGAAGGTCTGAGTGAGGCACCACAGTCAGCACGACTGTCACCATGCCTGGCGAACTTCCGGCAGCCACACGCATCAGCGTCAGTTTGTGCAAACGCACCGCACCTGGGCTTCCCAGTACCTTACAAGTCGCTGACAGCTCTGGACCGCAACGCATTCGGGTAGCGAAATGCCCTCATGCGTTTGTCGGGGCCCAAGCATAGGTCAGCAGCAGGTGTAGCAGGATGAAGAAAACACCGATGCCCTGCGCCGGCAGGCTGCGAAAGCTGTTCAACATTCGGGCGCAATCTTGAAAAGAGCTCCCCGCCGTAAGACTGTAGGCCAGCAAGCGCAAGGCTTGAGGAGTGTTCGCCTGCTCCGAGCAAGACCGTCGCGGTGTACAACAGGATTCTGGGGCATTTCGACAGCTCGCCTTGCTCATGGCGACCTGAGCACTGCTTGCAGCCAAGCTCTGCTGCTCTGCACCAGCCGGGAATTTTGCTGAGGCAAACACCGCTGCGCCGGTTAGCGAGGCCACTGAAGAAATCTAATGAGTTTGTTGCTCGACCTTCCTTGCCTGGTTTTCAGATGTGCTGCTCGTTGATACCTCTGGGCTCAGCTGTTGCTGGCGCAGCGAACCGCACCGAAAGCTCTTCGTGCTTCTGAAACTTCTACGGTGAGAGGCTCCGATGCCTCGGTGCTCCAAGGTGTCGCAGCATCCTTGCAGTGTTTTGCCCCTTTTGTGTCGTTTACTTCAGCGCATCATGCCAAACTTGCGTCATGCCCCTACATCTCCGCCCCCGTTTGTCTGAGCCAAACCAGGCGGAGGTACTAGGTATCAATCCTACACAGCGATGAAACCAACTTGCACAGCCAAAAGCTCCGATGGCCTTGGAACGTCCGCCACCTCCTGGCCGAGCTTCGGGATGCTGAAACTGCTACCAGTCTGCGTCTTCTTCTTGTGACTGAACAAAAAGTGAGCCTACGGCCTACAGCTTTTCTGCTTCATGCATGGAGTAGGCTCTGAACGAGCTGCGGATTCCTGAATTTCGCAGCTCCCTGCGTCAGCTCCGGGGCAGCTGGTAGTAGTTGCTGTCACAGTTGCTATGACCAGCATTTTTGTTGTAGCAGGAATACACGAAAACGAATGGAAGCGTGCGTAGTCCCATTGAGAATAAGACGACAGCAATAACGACAACAACTGCGATAAACAAAAATGACACTCACAGCATTGAGAATGCGACTGCCCTTCTCGTCACCAGAAACAACAATAGAACCTACCAGCAAAAAACAGACGTCAACCGCCGAAGACGGAAGCCTGGTTTCTTTGGCGGGGGGACACTCAAAAGCAGAAAGCCCTAAACCCTAAAACCTCAAACCCTACAAGCTCTAAATGCCCCAACCCCGGATTTCTGTGGAGGGAGCATTCCCAGGAGGCTCCCAAGGAAAAAGCATTCTGAAATGGCCCCCACTGTGGCTGCACGAGCTTGTGGGTGGAGTTAGGGCTTTAGGGCTTTCGGGTTTCAGTGCAGAGGGGTCGGGGGTGTTTTCACTTTGAGACGGAGAGCCCCAATGGGGAGGCCTGAAGCTATCGATTGTCATCAAGAGCCTTGTACGATGACTTGCAGTACGGCCTCGGGTAGCCTGGCATCACCATCTCTTACTCCGACCTTAGACACCTGATGACGTGAGACGCGACTTCGAGCTGCTTGGCAGCTAGAAATGTGGCACTGCTTTGCAGGGCCACAGACTACATGGACCTCGCGACCTTCTACAGGAACAAGACGTTCAGCATAGTCACAAGCACCCATCCGAGCTACGTCCCCGAGGCTCAGGTGGCCACGCGGGGCATCCCAGCAGACTGATTCCGCAACATGCGCGCGGCCGCTGCAGGTCGGTGCAGATTCCTTGTTGGGGCAAAGACTTTTTCGAGGCTGCGAGGAAACTCGGTGCACAACTCGTCTGCCTGCACGTTCAGTGAAAACAATCCATGCTGAAACCTCTTGTGCTGCCAAGGGTCCCAACTGAAACGGGGCTCAGAACAAGACCAGACACACTCCCTTCCACGTGACCTTACCGCTTGCTTGAAGCAGAAACAGACATAAAAACGGACACTGGAAAAATTGCACTGCATCAGCATTACCTACAGTAGCGCTGCTGCTCTTCCATGGACCCTACCGACGGTCTATCCGGTAAACCTGTCCTCGTGCAAGAAGCCCACAATGGTGGAGGGAGGGAGAGAGGGAGAGAGGGAGGGAGAGAGCGAGAGCGAGAGCGAGAGCGAGAGCGAGAGCGAGAGCGAGAGCGAGAGCGAGAGCGAGAGCGAGAGAGAGAGAGGGAAAGAGAGAGAGATAGAGAAAGAAGCGAGCGAGATCAGGTCGGGCAAGTCAGGCTGACAACAAAACAGACATCAACACGACTGTCCCGGTGGGTTAAGGATGACGGAGACGAGGCACCAATCTCCGGTACAGGCGCCACTGAGGGGGGCTCTGGAAGCTGCTCCTGGATTGAAGCTCCCGGTATCAATCGCTACCGCCTCCAAGCGCAGCGATCGGCATGTGTCCTGCTGCAGCACCAGGTCGTCTGCAGAACCCCCTGGCCAGGCTTTGGATGGAAGCTTCGGGTTCCGGCGAAACGGCGAAACCTAAAGCCTGCTCCCTTAGCCCAAAGTTTCGCATCGAAGGCTTTCGGCTTTGGCGTGAACCCGAGACTCAAAAAGTCACGTCTCCGAGTAACCTTCGGACCGAAGCGGTCCCATACCCACACCGCGCAGCCGCGAGCCAGGTGAAGCAAACCCCAAAGCTTTCAAGATCTTTCAAGACAGGACAGGCCAATAGTGAGACGCAAGCTTTTAGATACAAAGCTCCCATGCTCTGGTGGGCCCACCACATCTGTCGCTTGCGCTTTACAAATTCACATATTATCGCAATGGGCAATGCCAAGCGCCGAGTAGCTTCGGTCCCAAAACCCAAACCTGGCCCGCCTTCCGACAGAGGTCTCTCGGTGACAGTCAGCAGGTCAGTGTGGCTGCTGTAGGCGCCCGATGTCACAGTCCGAGCCGTGGTCATAATCCTGCATGTTCCCAGTGAGCGGAGTTCTGGCAGGGGTCTGGTACGGTAGCTCTAGTTGAACGGGGCTTAGGGCGAGGGGCCGCTGAGTGCTGACTGGTCACGACCTTTTGCTCTGGGCCCGGCTGACAGCGAAGCTGCTGCCCGCACCAGTTCGCGACGTGTTCCTAGCTCGAGGCTTGAGACTCAGGGCTGGGTCATGTGGTTTTTAACGTCGTTGGCCCAGGGAAGTTTGCTAAGCTAAGTGTGTCGGCCTGGATCAATGGCACTTAGTTTCCAAATGGACCCAAACTCAACAGCTGGATGCGAGACACAGGTCTTTGGCTTAGTCTTTGGTCGTCACAAATCAAGGTTTGGCAAGTGTTGGGAATGTCTTTCGGGAAAACTCCTTCAGCACAGCCCGCACAGGAGGACTAGATTGACTAGATAGCAAACCGAAGGGATAGATCGCTTGTTTTGGTGTAAGTAATTGTCCATTCCATTCCCCCCCCCCACCGCTCATCACACAAAAGCGCTTGCTGTGTGCTGATTCTTTAACATGCCGTGGCACAGCCGGCTCGAGCCACCGTTGCTGACGGCCTGTGACCAGGTAGACTCGAAATGTTGCAAGCATCTCAACACATGCATGGCGTGAAGTCGGCAGAGTTGCCGCGGCAGAGTTGCACATCAGGCTTGCCTGGTGATGGTTGCTCAGGTCGTCTTGGCTCTGGCTCTTGCTCGGATCTGCCATGAAAGCAATAAGGATCACGACTGGATAACAAGTTGGCCCGACCATCAAAACACTGACGACAGCAGCGAAGCAAGGCAAGGCGGCGAAGGAAGTCGTCCGCCGGCTGAAGCGCCAGGGCCCGCTTCTCAGTGAATGGCATGTCCAGGTCCTGGAAACGGAAACTTCCCCGAGCCCAGCAAGCAGCAGCTTGGCCCATCACGGTTTGAACCGTGCTGTGAAGGCAAAGCTTCAGTGACATCTGACTCGAACTCCCGGCATCCCGAAGGCTTGAAGCACACCCCGGTCCTCAGGTAGACAAATCGCACCTTCACCTGTGTACGTGGTTCCCTCCAGAACATCGGGCAGCGGATGGATCTTGTCTGGTGTCACCTGCTGGATAGTGGCCTGTCACACCAATCCAAGGAAGGAACATTTTTTGGGCGGCCCTATGCAACTCGCTCAGCAACAACTCCGCAAGAGCTCAGGTCTGTGAGAGAACTACGTAGGAGTGTGCTTCAAGGAGTGTCTTGCACGTTGGCAACCTCACTAGTGTACTCCAAAAATGGCGGTCTACAGATGTTCTGTGAGCTTGTAGATAGGAGTATGGGAAGGTAGGGCTGTGAGAGGCTGGGGGTCTAGAGGGCTTCAAAAGCCAGTGCCAGAGTAATTTGGTGCACTGTTCCGTCCAGTGGACCCTGTGCCTGCCTGGCCTAAGGCCTGCTCCTACCGTTCCCCCTCTGTACTGAAAAGACCTAGTAAAACAGCAGTTCCGTTCTATACTGTTCGGATGGGATCGAAAAGGAACGAACATTCACGGACAAACCCACAGACACTCCAAGGGCAGCCTGCCTCCGCGACAATGGCATCCACCCAAGCCGCATTGGCTGCCTCCGGCACGGCCGTCTCAGCTTTCTGCTTCAGCGCCAGCGGAAGAGCCTTCAACCCGAGCGGTCACCAAGGAGACTGACCTCCCCCACCAGGCCTTGACATTGTCCAGCTGGTTTCTCAGGCCAAGGGGACCTCACCCAGATCACGTCCAACTTGAGAAGCTGCATGACATGATCCGCTCGTGCCGTGTGCAAGCTGTGCGAGCCAGGTTACGCGGCTCGACCCGCCCATAGGTGAGATTCTGGTCCATCCCTTTGGTTCCACTGGTCATGAGATCCTTCTGCGGCTCCTGGGATGGCATTAAGGCACATCGTGCTTCTCTACGCCGCCCACCCTCCCCCAAACATTGCACAGCAAATGCTTCTTGTATTCATAAATTTCTGACTTCACCCCCTCCTTATGTTCGGTGTGCTCCTTTGGCCCAAGGCTATACAATTTTCCTACCTTCGCATGCCCTAAACGGCATGCGAGAGGGACCTTACAGGCGCCAACTACCTGAAACCTGGAACGACAGCCAACATGACACGAGCAACATCATGAGCATGAAGAGGTGCGGCCCACGCATTCACTGGAGTTAGAAAAGACCGATGTGTAGAGAATTGAGACAGCACCCTTTAAACTGCATAGACATGACTCTGACCGTGCATCATTGCCCAGACTGAAATCGGAGGCCACGAGCAGGCGGGGAGACCGGGAAAGGCCAGGGACAGCATGACAGCATGGGACAGCGATCGACAGCGGATGAAAGAGTGAGAGGGTCGACGTCACGTCAATCCTCTTCCCACCAGCTAAATAGGCCCTGCGGCGATAAAGGTGTCTTCCGCGACCACGGTTGCCTTGCTGCTGTGGAACAGCGGCTCGATCGCCTCCTTGAAGACGCCGGCTTTGCTCAGGGCCATGGCGATGCAAACCATGGCGAAGGGGATCGAGGACAGTCCTCCTGGAGCGATGCACCAACGGAGCCCTGAACCCCAAAAAATCGAAACTCCATGTGGCAAGCCAACTCACTCTGCTTTGCTCGCTTTGCCCCGCTCCGATGAGGCCCCAGGGCGGCGGCTCCGGCGGGCGAACCACGGAGCCCTCCAAGATCTCCTCCCTCGTCGGCTCGCCGGTGGTCCTGCTTCGAAAAACTTCTGCTGCCCTCCCTCCTCCCTCCATCCTCGCCCCATGGCCCACGATGCCTACATTACATGTTCGCATACGACAGCAAGGGCCTGATTCCATCCGTCACGGCCGGGGCCCTGT